ATACTCACAGGTGGATTGTTTTAATGTATCAACTTAATTATTTCATTTTTTCTTGCTTTAGAAAAAATATTTCATACTATAAACTTTACAATTTTAGATTTTAAAATTTCATAATTTTGGGGAAAGAATAAATGTATATCATTAATTTTTATATTACATATTTTATCAAATCTTAACGTCATATTTTTTAGAGAGATAATCGTTTGATTTTTTTATATAAATTTCAGTAATTATATAAAATGTTTTTTAACTTATATAAATTTTACATAATTTTTAATAGCTTTTACATAAATCAATTTTTTTAGACTGAAATGTAAAAAATATTAAAATAAATTCACCAAATTTTCATAGTTTCTAAGATATTTCATATTTTATATTTTCTGACATATTTTTATATAAAATATGAAATACTTTATAAAATACTTATTTTTTTAATAAGTTTGTCTTTAATGACTATGCATAGAATGATGAGACAAACAGAGTAATTAAAAAAAAATCATAATTATATATTTTCTTCTAGCTATGAAGCTTTTAATCAACATTTTTTTCTTTTGAAATGAAAAACAAATAATAATTGATATAAGTATATTAAAATATTCTATCCTATGTGTACATATATTATTATATGTAAAATGTATATGTATATTATATATAACACGTTGTTTAAGAATATACAAGAGATACTTCCTAATTATTCGAAGGCACGATGCGTGAATTGATTTGCCGCGCAAGGAATACTCCATTCTTAGGTCAATCATTCTTCAGGCAAAAAGAAATATCAAAAATAAAAGAGTAAAATTTGAAAAAAAAGGTTAATGACGAAAAGAAAATTGAAATAAATCAATGACTACAACGCAAATAAAATAATAGATGCGGCAGAAACGGTATCAAAATAAATAGAAACCAATTAGAATAGCTATATTATATACGATATAGAAATTATATATTTAGAAATAATAAATATTTTCATTGCCTGTATCTCAGAAATGCTTATATCTCTAAATTCATGGAATACATCAAAAGCACTAATATTACTTATCACGTAACATTGCTGATTATATCAAATATTTCAGCGGCATAATCTAATAACATTTCAATCAAATTACGATGTTATCAATAGCCATTTCGGCATTTATAATTATATGTATATCAGTTATATATATATATGTTATATACGTCATGATGGGAAAAACAAAGTGTATCTGTGTGCATAATAGAAGCAATAGAGTCGGGGCAGCCAATCAAAAGCTAATCATAAACACAAAAATGTCAATTTCTCATTTCTGATTTTTATTAATTTCCGCTGACAAATGTCAATTTTTCTTTTTGAGAAGATAAAAAATTTAATTTGTTTCTTATATGTAGTACTGCCTGTGTGACTTCAATTTTTTATGCAACGCGGCATCTTGAACTTCTAATCCGTTTAATCTTCAATTAACGTTTCATAGCATTGATAGCTGACTTAGCGCCAACTATTAGCAGCTATATAATTTTTTAACATTTGTGACCAATTCCTGATAGGCCATTTATTATGAACGAGTGCGTACGGGAATAATACACCTCATTTTGTTCCATCATGAGGTCTGTTTTTTATTTTTACAATTTTTGACCTGGTACACACGATGCAATAAAAATTCAAGTGAAAGAAACGTATACATATTTATTTCACTTTAATTTATTGCACCGTATGCATCAGTTTAGAGAGTGTAGAAATAAAAAACAGATATGATACTTTACTGTAACGTACGTTATACGTAACGCGATGATTGCTAACGGTAGTAATTCTACTGTTTTCTCTGCAGCCATATTGTATTATGACAATAAACACGAGAACTCATGTGAATTTTTTTTCTGTACGTTATATTAATCGTATGTATGTACGTATTATACATACGTATTATTTATACGTATTTTATGTCAAAAGAAATTAATTTGTTCGTACATCCTCACAGTTTTGATAATATAGATCGATACCGAGAATTCTTTCTTGTTTAATAAGCAATTGTAAATTTTGATTAATTGTCATATTATTTATTTTAAAAATATGGAACGTATACATAAATTGAATTACAAATTAAATCAATTCAGTATATATAATAAAAATAAATTAAATTGTAAATTAAATATTAATTCAGAATATAATAAAAGAAAGAAATTAATACATTATCTTTGATTTTATAACTTCAATCAACATCGTACGCAAATAATGGCATACGAAATAATCATTTCAATGTACCTATAAAATAAAAAAAAGGAAAAGGAAAAATGTTCACATGGATTCACTTCTTGCTTCTCGCGTCATAGTCCAATGCGGTTTCAGTAAGGAAACGAAGACCATCTGCCTAAGCATGTCCAAATTGCATTCAAGTTACTATCATTCATTTATCTTTGTGTCTATTAACTGTTAAGGAAGAAGAAAGAAGATACATACTCGCTTTTCTCTCTCTGGCCTTTCTTCCCTAACGGTAGTTCCGTTCTCACTACCTCGATATCGACCGCAAGTGAATCGCGCTTCGATTACAAAATTAAATATCAGATATTTCATGTAACAACACACAAAACAAATTTTTACGTCCGCGTATTCTTGAACGTAATTGTAATTCGGAAATATATGTAATCACGTAGGTATCTTTCATCTAATTTTTTCCCTAAGGCGGAAATGTGAAAAATAATAAGTTTTCTATTAATTTCAGTGGCAAAAAATTTTCACTTTTACCTTAGCGAAGAAGTTACATGATCGATATCCTGAGTGATTTTTATACTAAGTGGGAACATGAAGATCAGAGTTGCAGTCGTTTTCTTTGTTGATCGAAAAAGGTCCCCGCAGATTTCTTATAAAAAAAAACCAGCTTTTGTCAAATCTAAATTTTTGATATGTGCTTTATGATGTTGATCAAAAATTTCAATGGGCATATTATCTCAAAATAAACTCAACTTTTATGATTACGGGACCTTAAATAACTCAAAAATATTTTACAGAGATCTTCGACATAAAGTACACATTGCGCGTGTATGTGAACATGCAAAATATACAAGATGAGACAAAAGTCTAAATACAATCAGACATCTCTTGTAAGTTTTAATTTTTGTTTTTTTAATTCTATATAGAATTTTATTTTTATTAAATTTTAAGTTTTAAAATTTTTTAATTTATAATAATTTCATATTGTTCTTCAATTTTGTACAGTGTCAATTTCAATTTCTTGAAGCTGAGAAGGTTCTTAGACAAAACACAATAATTTTGACCCATTTTGACTGATCTAAAAAAAAAA